GCAGAAATGTGACAACTACAAAGGAACTTGGAGCATCCTGGTTGACTTAGATTGAAATAATGAGAATCAGTCACTTGTTACATGGCCCCGTACAGTATTATGGCTGGTAAATTGGAAGGAGTCCAGATAAACCCTACCCCATCTACGCATTGGCTGTATAAAAATTTCCTGTATAGCTACCATCTTCCTGGGTCCACACTGGAAATCAGAGAATCCAGCAGTGAACGAGCATTCCTAGAGTCCTTCTTGAACTGGCAATACCAGTTCAGAACTAAAGAACCAAAAAAAAGTACGTGTTAATTCAATGAAAAAGAGACTTGAGCTAATAAGGTATGTGCACAAAAGACCCAGGAGAAGGAAGTGAAAGAAAAGACAGCCAAGCATAACTGAAACAGTACAAATGTAGGTTAAACAGGGCAGGTTGTAGATGTGCAAGTTGCTCTAAAGGTTCTGGGTCCACTCACCAAGCCAACTCAACAGCAAAAGGACAACTAGCCTAATCCAGGTCTAAACCCACATCTGGCCTGAAGACTGACACGTCTCACTGTCCACCCCTAGACGGTCCACCCACAATGTCCAGGGATCCAGGTTAATAAATGTTTGGGATGGAAAGGGATGGGCTAAGTAATGACAACTTGGAAGTTTTGGAGCATGAGGTATCTAAATACAGTCAAACTTCATTTAGTTTTACCCTAGATGATTTCTGGACTTCACAAAAGTAAATAAGTCAGCATTTTAAAAAAATGAAACCAGATTTTAAAGACTGATTTTAGGTAAGGGGGATCCATTATTCTTTTCTTCTATTTTTCTTATCTCTTTATAAAAAACATCAAAAACCTTCAAAATGGGGGCATAGGTTTATATTTATTATCCAGTTTTAGTCTCAGGGTTCTTTTGTACACCAAGTAGGGACACCTCTTAGCCATTTGCCTTTAGAATCAACAACAAAACAGAACAAAAAACCCCCAACTAATTCTGAAATTAACTGCCAGAATCTATTATAAAAGGTGATCCCAACCACAAATTCTAGGCTTTCTTATGTTTAGGAAGCATGTTTACTAATTGCTCATTATATATATCAGGTTCTAAGTACTCCTCAACTACTTCAAGAACTAATGTGTTCTCTCATCAGTGCCCACTACCATCTTTCACAAGACATCAAAATAATGAAGCTAAAAGAACAAGTGGTAGATTAACTCCAAAGCGTATATTTAACCATTCTACTACCCAATGTATCAACTATTTTATTCCCATATTCATTAAAAACAGATGGTAAGGGTCGTTTGTCTAGGGCTGCCAAAGTTTCAGTCTAAAATCTTTTCCACTTTTATTCATGGTTTCTTATTCCTATAGAGCAACCTCACCTACAATTCTCAGTTGCATCAGCTACTACTAACCCCACCTGTTTGAAGGTAGTTACAAATATGTCCTGGGGTAAGGCTGGAAAAAAAATCCTATTGTGTTGGATAAACTTTGAAATATTCAGTGTGTACTCAGTTTTTAATATATTTCCTAAGTCTGTCACCTGAAAAGACCTAGAAATAATAACACCCCAAGAACAAGCAAACCCATCACCCAGACTTGATTTCTAAGTACCACTGCCCATTAAAGGGAACCAGGGATCCTTGGGGAAATAGCCAGTTTCAGAGCTGGTACAAAAAAGCCTAAGATGATCCCAGAAAATCTTTCTGAGCTATAAAGTATGCAAGAGCTCAAATGATGCAGGACACACCAAAAGCACACAGGAACCAATTGTAAAAGGATACCATTGATCAAATCTGAGATGACTGAAGCATCAAAATGAACTATGATTACACAGTCATACTGTGATTCTGTAAGAATGTCTTCCTAATGAAAAAACACAGCATTTAGAGGCTAAAAGGGCACAATGTCTCCAACTCTGTCAAGTACTATAGAAAAAAGATATATGCATGAATATAGAATCATGTAGCAAAAACAATAAATGGTGATTTTGAGCAAAGGATGTACAGGAATTCTTTCAACTATTGTAATTTTAGAGTTAGAGAAAAGTTGCAATATCCATAAGGGCTTCCTTGCAAAAGGCAATCTGGAATTTAAGAGGATTCATTGCAGATAACCTTGAATCTATTATTTAAAAAACAAAAAACCCCAAAAACCTTCATCCCTTACTTTGACATTCTACCCTACTTTTAGACCCAGCCTCTAACCAGCCCCAATGTTCTTACCTACGAATGGTTGCCTCTTAGTCTTAATCATGTCTTAAAGTTATCTTCATGGAAAGGTCATCACCACTTGAAAACCCCTTTGAAAGGACTTCTACAGCTAAGCCTTCCACGGCTTCGCCCCTTATGTCATCCATTCTTTCACTGCCTTGAAAGTGCCATGGATTGTCCTACTTCAGGACCCTCATGGTGTGTCTCCTCTAAAACCTTCACCTGAACTGCTCTCTGCTCGGAGGCTCCATCCTCGCTACACAAACTCCTACTCATCCGTGAATTCCCAGCTAAAAGCTCTTACGTAAGATTTGAGTATTCTGGCAGAAACTTTTACCACTCCATGAAAATTTCCGAGCAACAACTGCTTAACTTCATTACGAAAGAAAAATGAATATTAATACTATGAAATCTGTCCACTTCTGGCACTCGCATTTTTCAACACATCCCCCAGTTCCTTATTTTCAAACGTAAAATACATGAAGACCTAGCCTTTCTGAAGAACCGACAAGACAGCAGAAGTGGAAAGCAGCAGACCTTCCACGAGTTCACCTACTGTGGCCTGGACCTCGACCGACCGCTGGACATATCCTAGGAGCAGCTAAGGCAGCTTCATGGCGCGCGAGGCAGTGGCGGCGGCCGCACCGCCGCCTGCGGAGGAAACAGCAATGGCTGCCGAAGTGCCTGCGCAAGGTCAAGTAAGCGGCACCGCCCAAGGAGAAGCCCGAGGTGGTCAACGCACCTGCGCAATGTGATCATCCAGCGCAACGTGACGGGCAGCATGGTGGGCGTCTACAACGGCAAGACCTTCAACCAGGTGGAAATCAAGCCTGCGATGATTGGGCACTACCGAGGCGCGTTCTCAATCACCTAAGAGCCAGCCCGTGCAGCACGTGGCCACCCACCCCTCCCGCTCCATCCGCCTCAAATAGCCTGCCGGTCAATGAAGACACAGACTTCTCTTTAAAAACAAAAAGCACCCACACAGATGAAGAACTAAAAAGTACTGCTTTTAACTAACACATCCCCGAGTTTCAGAATAATAAAACTCAAAATAAGAGATCTACAAAAGCTATAAACTCTCAACATGAAAAGTAAGCAATTTGATTAACTTGTTTCCTGCTGGCAATTCATTATTTCTAAATTGTTGTGCTCCGTTTCTCATTTACTTTACACTTAGTCAATACCTCAATTTTTTAAAAAACTGAAAAAGTATGGTATATAATGTCAAATGGAAGAAACACAAGATAGCGCGTATATTGTATTTTTTGAAAATAAAATTAACTGAATACAATTTAAGTTTTCTAATAAACATTTATCCTTAAATAATTCTACACTCCAACAAAGATGTTCCCATTTCTCTGAAGTAATCCTTAATTAATCCAAAAACTTGGCTCTTTCTCCAAGTTATAATTTTAGCATCTGGATTTTTAAACCAGTATACAAAAATCACCACTATATAAATTAATCTCAGTTAATTTCACCATTATCATTTACATTTATTTTTCAGCTATTAGCAACTTAGTGCTTTAAGTAGCAAACTACCTAAATTATAAACACGGATTTTCAAAACAAAATCCAGTTCACAATTACCAAGTATATATACAGTGCAGAAGATTAAAATCTATGTTAGCATCTGATTTCTCTTTCCTAAGGTTCCTATAAAGAATGTATGCTTCTTCAAAACTATCCATTAATTCTGTACATTTAAATAACATTTGGCTTGACTTAGTCAAAAATATAAAGGCTAAAATTTTTATAAGACTAACTCATAAAAAAGGACTCAAATTCTAAACCAAGCCCTAAAACCAAGCAAAGAATATTTGAATATTAAATAGTTTAATATTTCTGCATGGTACAATAAGGTTTTTACAATGATTCAGTTTTATTTTTATTTTCAATGATGGGAATGGCCTACAACTCAGATAACCCACAAATTCACTGTCTTACAAGCAGCAGAAATATACAGTTAATTCCGTTATCTTAAGGGCCTTATCAAATACACCAATGAATACCATTAACCCGTTCACAGAATAATTAAAATGTTTCTATCAAAGCTAATGTGTCCTTTTAAGGTTTACGTGTTGTTATTAAATGTGTTAAAAAGGAAACAGAGGTAGAATCCCACGTTTTAAAGCACTACTCTGTAAGCCAATTCCACACAATTAAGACATTTTTATGTCACATAAATACTAATACAGCTTCAGTGAACTAGATAAAATAACGTTCAGAGATCCATGTTAATCTAAAAACCAATCAATTTATGGAACTGTTGTTCTCTGCTTATAACCATATTTGAATAAAAAAAAAATTTAAGCATTACTTTACAGGTGATCATATGGGATTTTACCATTTCTAGAGAGAAATAGAGAATTTCTTGGTAGTCACTGCCTGGGCTAGAGAATACTATAAACTGAAAATGTAAAGACAAAATTCGAAGGGCCTCAAAAACATCTATAGTTAACTCAGAGTATAATCTGTAGAACTAGGGAATTCCTTTCTGTCTAGTCTTCCAATAACAAACATGATTTAGCAGAGCTTGGGAGGTTGCTCTTAAAATGACACATTTTACAGGCCATCATGGCCTAAGCATTGAATAGCCTACTCAAAACATCTTTACTCTCCACTCTTTCAAAAAAAAAAAGTATATACTCATTCTTTTTTAAAAACCACCCAAAATATCACCAGTACATTTTATAAAATTAAATGCAGTTTTATTAAGGATTTCAAATTACATATGTCAAATTTCTAGAATGGAATAGAACCATTTTGAAACTGGAAAGATGGCATAGATGAACACTGATATCCCTTGAAACTCCAACTTTATTTAAAAAAACAATTCCTCTGCAAACCATATTCCCCCTTATATAACAAGATGAAATAGTATCTACCTCTTCACTTTGGCAACAGCTATTTCCTAAAGGAATAAAAAAAAAATAGTGATTTTGCTACTTCTTTAAGTTCATTAAAAATGGGATTCTATCTTTAGATTAAAAATTTTAAGTTCAGAAAAAGCTGTGTTCAGGTGAGCTATGGGTACAAAAGAAAAAAAAAAGTCACAGAATGTCTAATCAAAACAACCAAAATCATTTTGAAAATAAAGAGGAAAAACAGGTGTTTTCATGGCATTTTCCCCTTTCCCCCCCTATAAGCTACTGCAATTGGTTAAGGATTTCCAGTAGTTAATAATATAGAAGGAACTCTAAGGCCTTCCTATAATTACAACCCAATTAGTCCATCCTCACTGTCAAAGCTTTAAAGTTCATCCGCAAAAGTAACAGTAATTAGCCTGAGGTATTTTAAACGTGGCTCTACAGTCTCTAATTTAATGGCATTTCCCCCCCTCTAAAAATGGTCTTATTTCTACTTTAGTCCCATGATATCTGCAGTATTTACTACAATATGGTCATAATTAAAAGAGCTGGAAAAAAAATTCTTGGACCTTTTCAAACAGTTGCTCATCCATCCACTTCTATTAAAATAGGAGCCACACAAAGATCTGCAAGGGTTGCCTGACCGGATCCAGAATAAAGGTCCTTAATCTTTGTTTTCCAGTTTAACTATCAGACCTTGGTATAAATAAAATGCTGAATATCACATACTTGTGGTACAAATAGGTCCAAACTTTTGAGCTTTTGATGAGACTGAGAAACATTTCATAAAATTTAACTTAATATGCCTTAACACATCTGTGAGGTAGTTAAGTAAACAGTACTACCCATTTTAATAGATAGTAAAACAAAAGGCGTGGGTAAATGACACACTCATACTTTAAGGAATAAGAATTGGAATTAACTGTAGAGGCTTGGGGCCTTTTGTCTAGTTCTGACCAAAGGAAATAAAATTTATCCTTTTAATCTTTCTATTAAAAACATTAAATCATTTAAGATTTTGTTTTCTTTTTTAATACTCTCTCATTAGTAGATGTAGTACCTCTTCCAAAGTTGGCACCCTTTTCAATAATGCGGTAAACTGGGTACATAATTTAAGCTAGGCCTCTGCTTCTACCTGAATTAGTACAAAATTAAGACATTATCTCTGGAGAACTAAAATTATATTTGACATTTTTATTTTAGGCTGCAAAAACAAAAACGAGCAAACAAACAACAAAAAACTTGAAATAGGCTTGTCAAATGATGTAAATTCATCCTTTCCAGGGAAGCAGAAGGTAGACCCTACCACAAAGAAAAGATGCTTAGTTAATGGAGGTTAAATTTTAAAAGTACAGTTAAAATAAAAATAATGAGACTTAACTTCTGAAAATACTAGGTTTTATTCACCTCCCTGTGGTAACCAATAACCATACTATTAGTTAATAAGATTTCTTTATAGTAACTGTCACCTGAAATACAAAAATCCATTAACAATCTAAGTTATCAGGTGTGGTCTTACTGGAAATTCTTAACCATATACTTGTCTTGACAAGTATTGTTTTTTAAATGATGAATTGTCTTAGTATAAGTCACCGTATTTCTGTAACAAAGTAATGAAAGGCACAGCTAGTGCAAGCGAACTTAAACCCATTCAACTACCCACTGAAAAAATACTTTGGTTCTTCAGGAAAAAAATTAGCAAGACAAAAAATCTGGTTCATTTCACAGTTCTGTTCATTTTCATAACTGTAATCTAGTAGTTACAAGATAAAAATACTCCAGGAAGAACCAAATATGTAGCAATGAACAAACATGCGTGAGAGAATTTGTGCATTCAATGTATCTGGCAGAAAAACTAGTTAAAATGCTAAGTAGAACAAATTTGGTCTTTAAAATATCAGTTCCTTTCCTTTAAAAAAAAAACTTGAGTCTACCAAGAAAATACAAAAACATAAGGCTGTAAGTAAATAATAGTTGTGTTTAGGCTATTACAGTGCAGGTTATCCTCAAGGCCACATACATCCTGCTTCACTGCTGCTTGCACTCTGCTGGGTTTTGATCCTTCTGTTAAAGGAAAACAACAAGTCAATCTATCTTTTTCTACCTGCTTCAATTTATTTTTCAATAGTAGTTAACTATCTTAATTATCACATTATCTCACTGTTCTGTCAAAATTTCTGCCAAATTTAAAAAACTAAATGATGGCAAATTATTTATTCAAATATTACCAAGTCACAAAAATGCTAAAAAATAAAAGCCCCAATTTTACATTGTAGAATGAACTCCATAAAGTGAAAACATTAAGCTATCATCTTAAAATAGCCAAGCAATTTGTTAAGTCATATTACCAATTATTTTTGCCTTTTAATAGATCAGTTATTCTAAAATACTAATTCCATTCATATTTAGCTGTTAACCCCAATTCATGCCTATTAGAATATTTGATTTTTTTTAACTACCCTCTGTTACCTGCTCACTAGGTTAAAGTATCTTCTGGATATTTTTATAGCACAAGCAAATGAATAAATACATTAAAGAGAAACCAGAAGTTCCAAATGAATTCTGATAACATACTAAGCATTCTGTGGGAGATAAAGTCCACATGACAACTTCCCAGGAATAAGAAACTGGGACTCTCAGATATGGAGCAAAGAGATGACTGGGAGAACCTAGGAGTATTGCTCCCCTATTCCTGTGCACTCCTGCATTCAGATGATTTAAAAACTGACCTATGTTTATTATAAGCTTTCCTTTGGGGAGAAAACAACCTAAAGAACACAAGCAATAAGTAATTTTAAGTGCTTCTAAAAAAAACATTTAAAAAAAATGCCCAAGATAATGTGCCATTAAAATAGAACCTAGGGTTATTTCGCCTGAAACTAGGAAAAATAAAGGTCAGAACCAAAAATAAACGTTTCTTAGGAAAGGTGCATTGAAATTACATGTACTATTGAAATGCCAGTGAGGAGAGATTTATTAAAGACTTTAATAGACTAAAATAAACTTTACATTAAGAAACACTAACTCATATTTAACCTGCCTTAAATTTAACAGAAAGCAGCACTAATTTTGCTCACCTTTGGGTCATAGTCTGGATCATTTTCCTCATCTCCTTCTTCTTCCCCTTCCTATATTAAAGTTCAAAATGCATCCATGAAGTAGGTACATAATAGGAAGAAACGGCTCATAATGTAGGGAGAATTTAATACAAGTTACTCTATAAGTCAACAGATTTTCATGATTACAGAGTTTGGTGACAATGCAATTTAATTTGAAAGCTTCTAATATGAAAGATTTCCCAACACAACTTGAGACATCCAGACAGGTTTTATTGAAAAGATTTACTGCAGCCAACGTTGAAAAAGTTTACTGCAGCTTTTGACTTCTTCAAAGAGCTGATAACCCTGCAGCAGAACAGAATTATTTGAAATAAAAAAAATGTTCTGAGTTTTACAATTTATTTATTGAAACCTCATACATACATTGTTTGGCTGTAGAATTCTAAAACCATATTTTTTTCCAAAAACTTTTTTATCCCATATCACAGAGTAATGATTTATAGCAAAGGAATACATAAGTCACTCAATTTGCTTCTCAATGTGTTAAACAGAATTATTTGCTCATTTGGTAAACATTACCTCATCCGCTTCTTCACCTTCTTCATCATACTAAAAAAGGGAAAAAAGGAGACATTTGAATGACACTAACAAACATCTGAAAGTAGCAATTAGTTAATATCCACCATTGTATCCCCTAATATCTAAAGAGAGGAAAAAATACATTCCCTATAGTGACTGATTATAAATTAAAACAAGGACAATAGCTTCAGGAATCACCCAGCTCAGTGCCATTATCTAAACCTGACACTTTAAAAAATTAAAATAAAGAACACAGTACAATCATGGATGAAGTATGATCAGATAACTATGACTGTAAATATTACTTGCCTGTACAAAAAGGACCTAAAGGCTATGTGAATGATTGCCATTTAACAAGAAAGATATACAAAATATTTGAGAGCAGCCTAATTTTACCTTAATCGTTACTTAATATTCCTATGGATAAAAATTCCATGCTTCCTAATAAAGATTTTTATCAGTAGTAGAAAATGTACAAGGTTACGTTTTGTTTGGTTAAAGATGTGTAATGGATTTACAACACTAACCCAACATAGTAAAGTTTTACTACTTCAGAGAAAGTAGCCTTCCTAATAGCAGGAAAATAAAAACTACAATAAATGAACCCAAAGATCCTAAAAGGACCTACTTAATTCAAGGAGGTTATCTAAAAGGACATAAGTAATCAGCCTAATTTTGAATTATTCTGTCTTGCTTTTTAACAATTGCATCTATTCATTAAACCTCTCACCAATCCTGACTATCACACCCTCATCAAACGATTTCACTGCTGGATTCAAATTCACTCACATCATCATCATCATCTTCAATAGCTTCTCCAGTAAAGTATAACACTGATCTTGGGATTATGCGCTCACGTAAAAAGTGACCAATTTCAAAGTCCGCAGCAAGGATAGCTTCAGCATCGTCATCCTGTTAAAGAAAAATAAAAGCACAGGATTTAATAACTTATTTAATTTGGCATATGCGAGACTTGGATTTAAATCATATGCAGAAACTCTCAACTTCACTTTTAACTTTAAACTTTTAAAATTATCTTACATGTGCATGATCAAATAGTCTCTACATATGCCCTAGGTTTACAGGTTTTTAATAAAAATAAGTTTAATAAAAATAAGCAGGCCAGTATACATACTGGTTATCGCTTAAGTTTTCTCTAGCTTAAAAGTTACAAAAGCAACTTTGCTATATGACTACAACTTTCTTTTTAAAATATTAATTACTGAAAACACCAACCGGAATAACAGCAAGAAAGAATCTCAGGCTTTTCCAAATAACATTATGTATATAGCACATAAGACCAGAGAAGATCATTTCACACTTCCTAAAAGACAGCATCCAAGTGTCTGTGTAATGCCAAGTGAGATACTGTCCTACTTGATAAAGACTAAGTCAATCTAGGATTTCTACTTAATGGCAAAGTACAGCACAGAAATGCTGTTGATATTATTCAAAATTAAAATCATTCCATGATACTAAAGTTCTAGTTCTGTGATACTAAACACTGAGTAACTACTCTGTGAATTCCTGAATGTTTATTTTGATTCATCAACATAATCCACTCTAACAACAACAACAATAAAACACCAAAGGGTCGTGGGGGAAGACTTTGAAGGAAAGAATTCTAATCACAGGCAGAGGTGTTCTATCCATAACTCAAGATTGTGTTGGTACCATCAATATTTCGCAACAGGCTTAAGCCAAATTCAAAACTGAACTAGCCTACCTTGCCTGTGTAGATTTCTTTAAGGCTGTTCCTCATTCCTGGCTGTGTGCTAGGCACATTTCACAGTTTTCGGCTATATGACCACATATATAAAACCAAATTTCCATCGGAATAATAACCACACAAAGAACTCTAAGTACAATCTGGTTAGTGTTTAGTAAATAGTATAAATGATTTAATACATTCTATTTTCAATAAGGAAGAAAACTAGTCTTGAAAACTTGAATCCCTCACAGCAGTATTTGCAAGTCTCAGAAGAAAGGACTCTCTTTAGCCTTTCACCATTTCTCAGTAGAAGCACCAAAAGCTATTTTTTTTTTTTTTTTTTGCGGTACGCGGGCCTCTCACTGCTGTGGCCTCTCCCGTTGCGGAGCACAGGCTCTGGACGTGCAGGCTCAGCGGCCATGGCTCAGAGGCCCAGCCGCTCCGCGGCATGTGGGATCCTCCCGGACCGGGACACGAACCCGTGTCCCCTGCATCGGCAGGTGGACTCTCAACCACTGCGCCACCAGGGAAGCCTCAAAAGCATTTTAAATGGAGTAATTTTTCACATGCGTAAAGGTCTTCCTCTATGCATTGCCAAGCCTCAGAACAAAATACTAGTAGCAACTATTCTACTCCCTACATTTAAGAACCAGTCCTTTAATTTCATATTTAGTAAACAATTCAACAAATAAATAACAATTCAGCTTACCAGATCTCCACTCTCAGGAACTGCAAAATTGAGAAAAGAAATTCAAATGAATAAAAAGTAAACAAAGCTTACAATAAAACAACCATAAATACCCAAAGTAAAACACTATTTACCTTCAGGAGGGGCAAAAAAATTAAAGAAAGAGTCATTAGAAACTGTTTTGGTCACAGTACGAACTGTCCCACGTCCCTTGTGTTTCTGCTTCTTCTTAATGGTTTTCAAAGTGACATTCTTCCCTTTTTTCCAATCTATCTGGCACCTTCCAAAACAAAGGGGAGAGATGGTCTATCACAATTAACACATTACTTTCAATTGCTAGGAAAGCTGAGATTTTTCTAATTAAATTTCTATTTAATTTCAAATTTAGAGGAGAAATTTGTGCAGCTTTTTGTAGCAGTACAAAGAGAAAATTTTTATTTCTAAACAAACTTTTTCAATAAATATATTTACAATTACCACAAACTCACAATAAATTTAAATGTACACTCCTTTGGAAAAATATCTGTAATGGTCTATGTAGAATTCTAGGAAAATGAATAAGCCCTTCTCAGCAAACGTTTTACTGAAATGTTTGGAGATAAAAATGTATGTATGTACTAAGCAGACACACTAGAAGATACCAAATATCACAAATCATAAGTAAAGCAAAAACAGATATAACACTCTGTTAAAGTAATAAAATTAAACTTACCCTGTACAACCCATAATTTCTGGTCCATCAAAAGAAAAAGGATCAGAATCATCTGGTTCTGACCTCATCCTATATGTCTTTGTCAATACTTCATTTGTGAAATATTCATTGGGTTCAAAGTGAAATTCTAAGACAAAACTCTTAAAAAAAAAAAAAAGAAAGAAAAAAAAAAAGAAAAATCATAAAAAGTAATTAAATTCCTACATGATAAATTTCAATGCTTCAGTAAATAAAGCTTAATCTATGATTTTTATAAACATATAAAATCTTAAGTGACAAAGTCCTACTCTGGGAAAGAAAGGGTCAGATAAATCCCGAAGTATCTTAAAAGCAAAATGTGGCACAAAATAAACTGATAAAACTTAGTTCAGCTAACACTACTATTTAGTAACACGTTTATGACATAGGTTAGGTAGAGCTGAATAAACTGACCAACCCCCCACCCCCCCCCCCATCTCCACAGAGAGGGCTTTAAACCTTAGACTAGAACCTAGCTTGACAGAGAAAAAGCCCAACCGTATCACATGTAATATAAGAACTAATAGCCTACAGAGCCTTTGCCCATGCTTTACATAATATTGATGGTTTTGGAGAGAAGCCGTTGGCTGATCTTTCATAATGGGTAAGTGGGAGCCCTCTAACATTTTTGTTTTATTTAATTCCCAGACACATGTCTTTTAATACAGAATAAGCATTTTCTTATTCATGTTCCTTTGCTATTATTTTTATATACATTTTAATCTAGGATCAAAAATTGACTATATTTCAAAAATAGTTTACAGAGGGAGGAAAAGGAATAAATACTGCATCACAACTGTCAACATCCAAACATTTATTTCCTACCATCAATTAAGTAACAGTTTTAATTTCTTCCCACTGCCATGTCTAACCCTTGAATGTCACCTTTCTTTAGAAAGTTCCATTTATCTACTTGTAAACAGCTAATGCTACAAAATTGAAAATATTTCAAAATTTTTACCATAGGCTGACCAGCATCTGAGAACTTCACTTTAATATCTTTCAAGTGCTTCAGAATAGGTTCATCATGTTCCTTCAAATTAAAAAAAAAATTAATTTGATAAAAATAAGAAAAAAAATTAAAATGAGTATCTGAATGGCATACTAGTGTTCTGTTATTAGACAATAAGCACTTAACTGACAGACATTTTATTGTTCAGTTTTATGTACTATTATGAACCATAAAGACTTAATTCTCCAGGTTATGCCTTATACTGAAGCTAGTTTACTTAGTTCTACTTTCTATCACCATTGGCTGAAAAAAGGTGACTAAATAGAGAACTACATCATTATACAGACTGAATGGGCTGAAAAGTTCAAAATCAAGTCTAAATAATTCATGTTTGCTTTAAAAATGTTTCCAGATCTGGACTTCCCTGGCGGTCCAGTGGCTAAGACTCTGTGCTTCCACTGGAGGGGGCACGGGTTCGATCCCTGGTTGGGGAACTAAAGATGCATATACCACACATGTCGTGTGGTGCAGCCAAAAATATTTTTTAAAAAAAGTTTCCCCAATCATTAATTGCTGCCTTTTCCAGCTGCTTGTTCCTTTTCTACTTTGCTAAAAAGTAGAAATGCAGTAAGCAGTCATTGTTCTGAGACAGTTTCTTTTTCTTGACATTAACGTCCAACAATCACAATACAAGGTAACAAGTACTACAATGCAGATGATAGCGGCTCAAGAAATGATTCAGATTAGGAGAGGCAAAGTTTCCCAGAGAAGGTGACATCTGTGTCAGTTTCCCAGGGAAAAATGACAATTGTTAAAATAGGTAAATATTTTTACAGTATTCTTTTAAAATACAAATGTCCCTTGGAGTAGTTGTTTCAGACTGAAAAGGTCTCTGGGGTAGGACAACTGAAACTCCCCCATCCTACCACCACACTCCACATCTAAAAACAGAAGGCACAGGGATATATGAGAAAGCATCATACAGTGAGATAAGCAATTACCAAAGGGACTATTTCATTATCTAATTTTTGAAAACAAATTATAATTTATTTGATTACATTAATCAGAGCTGCAATTTTCCTTCTACCAATAACAGCTCTTTCAAAACAAAGCAATCATGGGAATTCCCTTGTGATCCAGTGGTTAGGACTCCTCGCTTTCATTACCAAGGGCCCGGGTTCGATCCCTGATTGGGGAACTAAGATCCCACAAGCCGCATGGCGTGGCATGGGCCCTCTCCAAAAAAAAAAAAAAAAGAAGAAGAAAGCAATCATTCTATAAAAATCAATAATAAAGAGACTAGTCATCAGAGCCATTTAAACTTCAAAGGTTTACCCTTTGAGGTAAACTGGGTTTTTTATGAATAAAATTACCTGAACCATATCACTGAGCAAGTCAACATTCTTAAAAACGGTCAACCAAAATTCAGGAATTCCTTTGGGGTCTTCTTTTTCTTCATCCTTTTTCTCATCTTCAATCTTGGCCTTTTCTTTTAGCTCCTCCTTAATAAAAGACAGCATTCATCATTACTGGATACCCAGATTAGACATCTTGATAAAATTTTTCACATCCCCTTAACTTGCATGCAGTGGCAGAGAACCCAACAAACCCTCAATGACTAATTTTAACATTTAGCCAAAGAAGTTCTAGTCTAATTGTGTAAACACTGCTGTTACCCATACCAGACCTTACTTCCATAATATTTCTACTACCATACCCCTTCCAAAAAGAAAGCCACTAGGACCATGAGCTGTAGGAAAAAAAATTCAGCTTCATGGGAGAGAAGAGGAAAAAAAAATAAGACTTAAGCACAGTAAAGAGGAAAAGCAAAAGAAATATAAACCCTGTCCATTGCCTCACCCATTGGTGCTCTTAATCAAAATATATTCTCTTAATCACCAATGTTAAAACATCAATGCTGGAGAAACAGGTCATGTAACAGAGCACTGGATTTGTATCACAGCTCTGCCATCTATAAGTTGTGGGCAGGACATTTAGAGACCTCCATTTGCACTTTAAAAATGGGAACAATCCTTTTGTATGTCATCATGAAGTTCAAACGAAAAGTTTATATGAATCTATAAACTTTAAATGCTATAAAAATGCAAGGAAAAGGTGAATTTGGGTACAGGTGGAGTTGGGCTAACAGTGGATCATCTGCACTCACTATCCATCTCACAATAAAGATAATTATTTCCAAGGTATAAAAACACACTAAATTTAAGTTAATACCAACCGAAATTTCATCTTCCTCATCTGGTTTCCATTCACATTCTTCTTCTGTAGGTTCATAAATGGCATTAATGATCTCAAATCGCTAAAATGATTAAAAACAAAAACTTGCATAAAAACACTGGCATCGAAGCTAAAAACTAGATGTCCCTCATTAAGAATGCTTAAAGATTTAATTAATTCATACAACTTGAATTGTTATTATCGATAGTTCTCCCAAATTCCTCTAATAACTATTTTGCTGACAGTTCTAACAAAAGTTTGTTTATATTTCCAGAGCTTTATTATCTTCTTGAATTTTACATTAAAAAAAACAAAGTATTAGAAAGCATTACCTTATCAAATAGAGGTTGATAGAGAACAGCATACTTTCTTTCAAGATCATGAACTTCCTCATAGAACTTGGCTTCTATCTGTGCACATTTAACTTGAAGGTTTTTGAGAGCATTCACGCGTCTTTTAACTACCCTAGGCAAGCTGAAAGGTTAGAAAGCACCAGTTATGTAGCATCACAGTAAAACCCAAGTAACACTTCTTTTAGCATACTGAAATTGAAGCATAAAAGTTAGTAACAGCTTTCCTATTTGAAGCAAAAGGTACATTCGAAGTAATTAAAATTCAAGAAATATAAATACACAGACCTCTTGACCATAAAACATTTCAAAAGAGGAAATTTAACCAGGTACAGTAAATTGATAAGAAAATGTAAACCGTATCACCAACCCTAAATCTTTCATCGTAATTAAGTTCAGCACTGGGCTCGTCAGTGCTGGCATCTCAGTTGTAAAATGCAGTCTAAAAGTTAAAAAGTCACGGACTGGGCTTCCCTGGTGGCGCAGTGGTTGAGAGTCCGCCTGCCGATGCAGGGGACACGGGTTCGTGCCCCGGTCTGGGAAGAACCCACATGCTGTGGAGCGGCTGGGCCCGTGAGCCATGGCCGCTGAGCCTGCGCGTCCGGAGCCTGTGCTCCGCAACGGGAGAGGCCACAACAGTGAGAGGCCCGCGTACCGCCAAAAAAAAAAAAAAAAAAGTCATGGACTAACCATCCTAACAATAACCTGAATAATTTTTAAAAATATGTACAATTGAGGGAATTCCCTGGAGGGCCAGCTGTTAGGACTCCGAGCTCCCATTACAGGGGGCACAGCTTCAATCCTTGGTCAGAGAACTAAAATCCCACAAGTAGCACAGCACAGCCAAATTAAATAAATAAATTAATAAAATATGTACAGCTGACACTTGAAACACAAGTTTGAACTGCATGGGTCCACTTATATGCAGGTATTTTTCAATAGTAAATACTAGAGTACTACACAGTCTGTGCTTGACTGAATCCATGGATGGAGGAATCGCAGACACAGGGGGATGACTACTGATTAACTCCTGTGTTATTCAAGGGTCAACTGCATATTCACCTGTGTCAATTATTAGGGGAAAGAAGGAGAGCATATGTGTTTTTGGAAAAAGAATGGTATCCTACACCGTTATTTTCTTTTTAGTCTCAGTATTTAATTTGGAATTTGAAATTACATTAAATAAGTATGTAAAATTTTATGAAGAGGGGATGTAGATTTTTAAAATAACAGCTTTTCTAAGATATAATTCATACACAATTCACTATAGGGCATAGATTTTTTTTTAAAGGTCATACACACCTAGTTTATGAGCCCCTCAAAAAATGATTAAAATTATGAATCCCTCTACCACCCCAAAATGTTCACACTCAAAAGTTCCGTAAGTTCAGGGAATCTGTACAACAGATCCAAAATCCAGGTTAGAATTTCCTGCCATACACAGATTAGTGTAAAGCAAATTAATTCTCTACTTAACCACTTTAGTTAAGGTAATCAGAAGTAAAAACAAACAAACAAAAACAAAAACCTAAAATACAAACTCTTATTTCTTACAATTAAAATTAAGATGTTGTCAAGGTGGTGAAATAGCTTGGTCAGCTAGCCTCCCTGCAACTCCACATCTCAAAAAAAAAAAAAAATCAACCCTGGAAACTTTAGAACCATGAAGCAAACAACTATTTCTCACACACTCACACACACCATCACACCATGAGCAATTTCTGAGTAAGACTGAAGGTTGTCTTTCACTGGTACAGACAGGGTGAGCTGCAACTTGGAAGGCAGGGATGGGGGTAGGTGGGTGGTGGTGACCAGAGTGGGCAGCAGTGAGGACAAGGTGGAAGAAAGCTTTTTGCAGAAAACCTTTAAAGTTCTACACTTGCCTTCAACACTCACTGCCTGTCCCCTTCACCCTTCACAGAGCCCAGTGCCATTGCTCCTAGGATAACATGAAGAGTTGATGAAAGCTGGACTGGCTCAGAGCCCATAAGCACTCACTCTTCCACCTCCTCCAATCCCAGAACAATGGATTACAACCAAAGGAGACTGGCTCCTCCCAAAGCAGCCAAGAAAACTGCCTGTAATTGTCAGCCAAGTCTGAGTCTGAGGTGACTGGAGCTCTCCTTAGGCTCAACCAGTCCCCTTTCTCTTTCGCCATGAGACTGTTACAGACGGAAGTCTAATCTCCATTCCTCCCTTAATACTTATTACTAGAGCAACTGATATCGCCCAGTGTGCTGGAGGTATAAGGCCAAAATAACTAGACACTTGAAGAGTACTATGAAAGAATGAAATATTTAGCATCTGAAGCATTATTAAACAAAGGATTTAAACAAGAATGTAAATACATTTAAAGCGTTGAAGAAAGATACATCTTAACTCTGAAACAAGACCAAGAAAGCTAAAACAAGGTGGGAATATTAAGTATGAAAAATACAGTTAACTAAAGTAACCAAAAGTTGGACAAACAAGGTATGTTCAACTGAAGAAAAAATCCATGAGGTTTAAAACCTCTTCAGAAAGGCAGCAGGAAAGACAGACAGAAAAGCTATGAGACATAGAGGCACTGGTGCCAAATGAAACAATAGCTGAAAAAGAGAAGGGAGGTGGATATCTGAGGAAATGAGGGTAATGAATTTCTCAGTTACAGAAACATGAAAGCCCTTATTCGAACCACTAGACACGTTAATGAGATTGATGACTATCAAAGAAAAAAGAAAATTCTAAAGATATCCAATGAAAAAGCAAACAACCTACAAAGGAAAAGGTATCAGAGGGATATTGGGTTTCAAAGAGAACACTGTAGACAAGAAAAACTGAATTTTTAAGATATTTAAGAACTTTGAACTTAAAATTTTCAGATATGAAGGCAAAATAAAAACTGTATAAAGTATATGAGGCTTTAGGAAGTATGCCACAGATATTATATTCATGAAAAATAATTTTGAAAAATAATTTTGAGGAAGTAAAAAAAAAACCCAGATGCTATATAACATATGGGTGAATCAAAAATATCTTGATAAATTTTATTGTTGCCTTGAAAGAAAAAAAAAGAGGCCTAGAGGAAGTATATTATTGGTGAATTTAACAGATCAATAGGGGTAAATAAACTGAGGTATTAGGTTATGATCCATTTTACCATAATAACAAAAAACAAAATGCATTAACTTTGAAACCAGCAGAAGACAACTTGATCTTTTCAGTGGAAAACAGAAAAGGAGAAAAAAGTACCATAAATTAGATAATAAGAAAAGAGAAGAGCAATTAACTCCAAAACAATACCACTTCTAAGAAATGTAAAGTTTGAAATTACTAATAAAGAAGAACACGATCATACTAGAGTAAGATACAAGGATGGAAAAAGACACGCCAGATAAATAAAAACCAAAACAAAGCTGGAGCAGCTATCTTAGTATCAGACAAAACAAAATCTATGACACAATCCACAACTGACAGAATTATAGGATGAGAAAGATAAATTAAGAAGATTTTTTTATACATTCATCCCAAAAACTGTTAGATCAAGCAGTCAATCAATACGCAAAAATAAAGAGAATCTGAACAATACAACTAATATGCCTAAGCTATTGATTTCGGCATATAAATTTTCATACTTATTCACACAGCATTTATAAAAACAGTTTTATGGCCGTAAAAGAGACACATTAATTTTTTTAAATTAAATGAACTAAGCAGGCAATTAAGAAACTGGGAAGGAAATAGAGCAAACCCACATAAGGAAGTAACATTAAAGCCAGAAAAAAAAAGCAATAACAAAAAAAAATGCAAATGGAAAATCAAAACATTAAGATTGAGACAACTGGCAAAACTAATGCAGATACAAAATACAGAATATGAAAGGGAAAAATCAGATTTTTAAAAATATGAATTATACACTAATCAATTTGAAACCTAGATAAAACACATACAGTTTTAGAAGAACATAAAACTCCACAATTGGCACAAGAGAAATTGAAGAGGTCAGTTAGTATGTTATTAAAAAAAGAAAAAAAAAAAGAAAAAGGATAAATTCCCCAGGACCTCTAGTTGCCAAATCCCAAAGGCCGAAGTCAATTTTTAGAAGAGTTCCACCAACTGTTCAAGGAATTCCTATCTTATACAAGTTGTTCCAGAAAACAAAGAAAAAAGTAAAAGCAATCTTGTTCATTTCTAGGCAGTTGAAATCTTGACTCTAAAATCAGGGATAGAGTGAGTGAGTGAGTGAGTGAGTGAGTGTGTGTGTGTGTACAGGCACACACAAGCTCTTTTCACTAATAAATAAGTTTCCTAAATAAAGTGAGAGAGTGTGTGTGTGTGTGTGTGTACAGGCACACACAAGCTCTTTTCACTAATAAATAAGGACCCTAAATAAAGTGTGTGTGTGCATGTGTGTGTGTGTGTGTGTACAGGCACACACAAGCTCTTTTCACTAATAAATAAGGACCCTAAATAAAATATTAACTGCCCAACTGAGGTTTCCAAAACCATATTTAATATACAATTAGTAGATTCAAAGAAAAAGTCAAAAGACCATCTGAATTGATAAAGGAAAAAAGGTCATAATAAATCACAAACAGACACATTAATGAAGAGATTACATACTCATTCCTGGTTAAGATAAGAAATAAGACAAGGATGCCCATTTTTAATGCTAACGTTTAACACAGTATTGAAAGTCCTGGCTAATGTTACAAAGAAAGAAAAATAAACACGCAGTGTGGTGTAATGTGGAAGATTAGAGTTAAAACTGCCACTTGCAGATAAGATCTTTGGGGCTATGTGAGAAATAACAGAACAAATTACTATACAATAAGAGTAGCAAGGTTTCTGGACACAAGATCAACTTTAAAAAAATAATAATCAGTAGTACTCCTTTATCAAGAACAGCCAACCAGAAAATACAACAAAAAATACTATTCACAACAGCAACACAAATATAGAGGAATTAACCAAGAAGAAAACTTTGTAATAAAAGATACAGAATATGATCTGAATAAATACAAGGATATGGATGAGACAATCTAATACTAAAAAGATATTGGAATTCTTAAGAAAATTCTAGTTTTTTGTTATTTTGAGGGTTTTTGTTTTTTTAAGAGAACCCTGATAAACTTACTCTCAACCATACATGGGATAAAGGGCTACAGATGGTAAGATCAACCTTAAAAGTGTGTCCCATGGTGGATGAGGGGTGGTAGAAGAAAGCAACTCACCCTGCCAGATATTAAGACATACTATAAAGCCAGAGTAATTAAGTGGGACAATGACAAAAGAACAAGCAAAAAACCAATGAAGAAGAGTGCTGCTCAGAGACAAAGGTGTTTGTAAGAATTTGATATACAGTAAAGGTGGTAACACAAATAAATGGGGGGAAGCATGAACTGTTTAGTGAAGCATTATAAAAACTAGCTCACCAAAAAAGAAAGGAAAGAAAGATGCCTATTGAATATGAAATACAAAGGTGATCTCTAAAGGGATTAAAGACCTAAAGGTAAAAGGTAAAACTAGTCAATAGGAAATGTAGAAGGAGTAAGGAAAGACTTATCTTCAGAAGAACAAGCCGTATGTCAAAAAATTTAACAAACATAAAAATTAAGGATTTGTTTAATAGAGGACACCATGGACAAAATTAATAGAAATGACAATAGATTATTTACAAAGTCTAAAACTGATAAGGGATTAAAACCTAGAATACACAAGGACTCCTACAAAACAAGAAAAAGACAGTAAACCAGGGCTTCCCTGGTGGCACAGTGGTTAAGAATGCACCTGCCGGGCTTCCCTGGTGGTGCAGTGGTTGAGAGTCCGCCTGCCGATGCAGGGGACACGGGTTCGTGCCCCGGTCCGGGAAGATCCCACATGCCGCGGAGCGGCTGGGCACGTGAGCCATGGCCGCTGAGCCTGCGCTCCGCAATGGGAGAGGTCACAACACTGAGAGGCCCGCAAACCGCAAAAAAAAAAAAAAAAAAAGAATGCACCTGCCAATGCAGGGGACACAGGTTCGAACCCTGGTCCAGGAAGATCCCACATGCTGTGAAGCAACTAAGCCCATGCGCCACAACTACTGAGCCTGTGCTCTAGAGCCCATGAGCCACAAGTACTGGGCACGTGAGTCACAAGTACTGAGCACAAGTGCCACAACTACTGAAGCCCACACGCCTAGAGCCCGTGCTCCACAACAAGAGAAGCCACAACAATGAGAAGCCCGTGCATGGCAACAAAGAGAAGCCCCTGCTCACCGCAACTAAAGTAAGCCCACGTGCAGCAACAAAGACCCAACGCAGCCAAAAATAAATTAATTTTTAAAAAAAGATAGTAAACCCCAAAATGTGAATGGGCAAAAGGGTACAAAATGAGCAACCTAAAAGGCTCACTCGCAATCATTATGAAAGCAAGCTCAACCCATTAGAAATCAGAAAATACAAGTAAAACAAAATGAGCCTGCACCTCTTAGATTGGTAAAAACAGAAAAACTATAAAGCTGAATGATGTCAATTGTTGGCAAGGACACAAGGGTAAAGCGACCTTCACATACTGGATACAGGCATTGCAGAAAGCACCTGGAAGTACTGAAGGTCTACATATCCCATAATTAACAATTGCACTGATAAGTACATATCCCAAGAAATTCCTACACAGCTCCTTAAGAGGACATACACAAGCGTGAACAACATCACAACTGAATTCGTGTTGATGAAGCTTGGAGACAAACTGGATGACCATCAAGGAAAAAGCATATAATAAAGCATGGTGGACACACATCACAGAGTACCAGGAAACATTTAGAAGCTAGAAACTAATGACGAGAGATACATATAGACAGCAATGTGGAGAGATCTTAGAATTATAAAGTTATGTAAAAAATTATAAGCAGAATAAGATATTTGGGCTATTATTAGTGATTTATATCACCAATGAAATAAATAAGAAATCTGTATTTCTTTTAATTCTGTGCATTTCTAACAAATCTCAGAAATGATTTAAGATCAGTATACTCCCTACGGAGATGAACCAAAATAAACTTTAAAAGACCAACTCTAAACCTGTACTCAGCAAAATTTTAAACTCCCAATAATCCTATACTAGATACTAATGAACACTAGCTTTCCATTGTGACATACATTAAGTCCCAGATGGCCTTAAAAATATACACCTGCAACGTTGATTATAGAAAGATAAATAAGGACTATGAAAAAGAAGAACTTGTACCTTTCAATGTATCCTGTTGGTGTTTCTACCAGACCATCAAGTCTTTCTTGAAGGGCTGCAAGAATCTGAGGATTTTGCATCATCTGAACAGTCAGCTGACGCGCTTTGAAAAAAAAAAGGGCATTGAAAGAAGGATTTTATGAAAATGTATCATGCTATTTGAATAGGACAATCCAATCATGAAACTTTCCTGACTAGCTCATAAATCGCTGGTATGAGTAGAGACGAGCAGCAAGCTAAAGAAAATTCACTCTAGGAAAACCCAGTGTACAGGAAAAGTTCAGATTCTAATGATGTCTAACGTACACCATTTCTCAAGGCCACTGCCACAACTACTATGAACATTATCCTTTCTTTTCCTACTACCTTGTTTTACCCACCTTGTGTTTTGGGAAGCTCAAAGATTCATCCAGATGCCTATCTATGATCCTTGATAACCCTTTGAAGTCAAACAACACATACAAGAAAACTGCAAATACAGTGACAGTTTCAAGCCTGGGACAAAGATGGTCAAATGAATCTGAACGTTTCGTTGATGCTTGTATAATGTGCTTGTGGGTATCTGAACAGAGAAAGTTAACAACTGAGATAGTCAAAAGTTGTAACTAAAGCCAAACAAAATTTGGTTATTAATGGCATCTAAAAATTATATTAAATCTAAAAATAACCTAGATTTATGCAAAACAAATTATTTTGCTATCTTATTTCCTCCATCAATACAGACTTCACCAAAAAATTACGATTAATTTTCCCAATTTGTTTTTAAACATCAATTTACTTCTAATACTGATTTTATTATTGGATGAGTACAGCTGTGATAACCAACATGCTTTCAGAAATACCAATACTGGCCACTAAAGATACAGTTCTGTATCTTTTAAAAAAACGCTGCACAATGAAAGCTGAAGCTAGAAGTTCAGCAGTCTTTTCAGAATAAACCTCATTCTGTCTTAAAAATGAGAAGTTGAGGGGCTTCCCTGGTGGCGCAGTGGTTGGGGGTCCGCCTGCCGATGCAGGGGACACGGGTTCGTGCCCCAGTCCGGGAGGATCCCACATGCCGCGGAGTGGCTCGGTCCATGAGCCAAGGCCGCTGAGCCTGCACGTCTGGAGCCTGTGCTCCGCAACGGGAGAGGCTGCAGCGGTGAGAGGCCCGAGTACCGCAAAAAAAAAAAAAAAAAATTGAGAAGTTGAGTCATCTGGTACGTTGATATTCTTGGCTCCTAAGCTACAGGGCATATCCTAAAGCAGTATAATTCCCCACTACCATTATTACCCCCTTTAAAAATAATTTGCTAAAGAAAATTTTGAAATGATTTTGTCTACATTTAATAAATGTCTCTTTTTGATCGGTTGGAATGGATTAAAAACAGACATACACACTACGTATTTTCTACATATTAAATACTAAACATTTTCAAATAAGTCTAAGCTAGTGTTATTTAGAAGCACCACTAGAAACAACTCCTACCACCACCTATAACGTACCTAAATTGAGACATATCTCACAGGCAACTGTTTGACAAGCTATGACATCACTCCAGCAGTAGAGCGTACACACAGTGACTTCTGCTAGGTCACTACATCCATTCCCTCCTCGCTTACTACCACTCCTCTCCATCTCCAGCTCCCTCTGCCCCTCCCTTCCTCCCTCCCTCCCTCCCCCTCCCCATCCCAAACATACATTTACACACAAAACTGTTACTGCAGGTTTGGCTAGTCAGTAAAGTGGACAAGTATCCAAAAAGAGAATATTTACTACTACCCTCCAGAAGACACGCGCCAACAATCACTGGCTCCTGAAGGAATTTAAAATAATACCTTTGATTTTTGTTTCTTCACCAGTTTCTTCTTCTTCTACTTCTTCAACATCATCCAAATCTTGATCAAGTTCAGACTGTTCTTTGCTATAATATTATAGTATCACACCAAGGTTCAAATATACCAATTACCCAAAAAAAAAAAAAAAAATTATAGAAAACTTCAGTTCATTTTCTAGGTGAATATTCCTCTTTCAAAAATATGAAGTAGGAAATCCAAAGGGTGATTCAGTTTTCTAACTTCATATGTAAACAAGGACAAATTGGAAATACTTAAAATTTCATTTAAAAGCATATGGTCTAATATAAGGTTTATACTCTAAGCTTTAAAAATGTGGTTTGACAGGTTGTGATTCAGAGGATGTAATGTCAGAAAGTATGTGCTTTCTACCCAAATCCATTGGTTTCATTCTTCCTAGTAACAGCACTCTGATTTTATATGAGATGGTAATAAACCAAGCTAAAAAGTCTACATATCCCAGCCTACCTTTCAGCTAGATGTGGCTATATAACCATCTTTTGGCAGTAAGGTAAAAAAAGAGGAATGTAGAATTTTATATATATATATATAAAGCCTCCTTAATAGAATGGTAAACAGCTGGAACCCTTTTCGATATTGCTCCCTCCCTAGAACAGGGATATGATGGCTAGAGCTCCAGCAGCCATGTTGGACCATGAGGCATCCTAGAGAACAGAACTCACCAGCTAAGAATAAATTAAGGAGTCTGGAAAAACAGAAGGATCCTGGATCCCTGGTGGCTGTGGAACAACCACGTCAGCCTGTACTTACTATCTTTGGACCTTCCTTTTTTCTTCACTTCATAGGGGAGATGGGGAAGAACAGTAAAAGTTAAGAAGACCTGAGTCTACTTCATGCTTAGAGTAAAGCCAGGAGGATGGACCATTGAAAGAGAAGGTAAAAAGTAATAACATTCTTCCCATTTCATCTTGAAAATCTAGTTTTTAAACATGAGATTACAATCAGCATTAAAATGGGGAATTAGGATATCTAACTCAACATACAGATCATCATACAATTCCTTGTGTTATTTTACATTTTAGTATGGTATTTGGTTAGTCTAGAAATAGCATTTGAAAAATTAATTTTTCATATAGGAACTATAAAAAAGGTCAACTGTATTCTGCTAGAAAAATCTGTTTCTGTCAACAAAGGGAAAAAAAAAACAGCCTTCCCATCAGAAACAATACAGATTATTTTGGGAATATCTTTTATTCACTATAAAGTTAAGCATAAAGACAACATGGAACAGCTCTTCCTCCAGTGCCATCTCATTCAATCATTTATTGAACATCTAAAACTTAAAGCTTTAAAACAGAAGTCCACAAACTGTGTCATATGGCCAAATCCAGCCCAGTCCTATTTTTGTAAATAAAGTTTTATTGGAACACAGCCACATTAATTTATGTATTGTCTCTGGCTTCTTTCACACTACAACGGCAGAGCTGAAATAGCTGCAACAGAAAACTCATGGCCCAAAATGCCTGAAATACTTACGATCAGGTCCTTTAAAGAAAAAGTCTGCGGACTCCTGCTTTAAAGAACAAGGATCTTCCTCTTCCTCCTACCCTCCTAAGAGCTCACAGGCATCCAATAGTAAATAATGGGGTGGGAAGCATAGGGCAGAATCAAGCTACCACAACCAACTTACTCTTTTTTCGAAGTTTAAGACAAAATGAATGTTAGATGACAGACTGCACATACACATCTGATCTTAATCCTTCCAAAATCTCCACTAAAATTATGACAAAGGGGTTTTTAAACAAATACTGAAGGACAAGGAGACAAAAAGCAGCAAATTCACCGACAACTGAAATCTAAGTCAGCAGTGGTAGAGCTGAGAACGAGCCTAAACACAGAATCTTAAAAAGGACACTTCTAGAACTAGGGCTTGGGGGTGAAGGTGGATAAAATAGGGAGAACTAAGCAAAAACTAATAAACAGTTAAATCCTTAGATCCTCTTTCTCACTCTAGCAGAACAGTTTCTTCTCTGGAAAGGGAACTGGAAGCTCAGACTAGAGGATCACAGATATATACATACTACTGATAGAATGCTGAATGCAGAGACCCCTCCCCAGCTGCCTTCTCCCAAGTTAGTTCCCAAATGTATGGAAGCCGTATCTTTACCCCAACACTCTTTACTGGGGTATGTGACCAGCCCAAAAAAAAATGCCATTCTGACAGTGGGGAGTCTCACAACAAATGTCTGCCCTCGTGAGCCCACATTAAAATCCTAAATTGAAAGCACTCCCCCCCTCCCAACAGTCAAATTCGCCAATTAAGTTTTAAAAAACATCCTTCAACTATGCATTTCCCCCACCCAGTCTTAAAGAGCAAACAAGTATTACCTCCTATTTGAGGAAAGCCTCCTACATGGAGACCAAAACAGGAAAGAAAAATTTAAGACCAAACAGACTATACAGGGGAAAGAACATCCAGAGAAAAGATATTACAATCAGTGAAGTAAGAACAAGATGCTATAAAAATAGGAACAGAGAGCAAAGGAACGCTTGAAAACTAAAACAGAAATTTAGAAACTCAATACAAGAGTTAAAAGATAAAGTTTCTTCAGCTTTGCCCAGAAAGAAGAGCAAAGAGACAAAGATGGAAACTAGGACAAAAGGTAATCACAAGAACCAGTCCAACATATAACAGAAGCTCCAGAAATAGAAAATGGGAACAAGACAATCAACAAAATAAGTCAAGAATATTCCCTAGAACTGACAGCTATCAAGTTGCCAGACTGAGAGTCCACCACTGAATGCCTAACAAGAGATTAAAAAAAAAAAGACCTAACAATGTAAAAATTTCTGAACTCCAAAGCCAGAGTAGCTTCCAGAAATAGACATACATGTCTACGTTTTTTAAAAAGTGTTACATACAAATGATCAAGAATTATGATGATTTTGAACTTCAACACAGCAACACTAGAAGCAAGGTGACAATGGAGCAATGCCTTCAAAATTCTAAAGAAAAGTGATTCCTAAATTACAATTCTACACCCCAAATATCAAGCAGAAGGGTAAAATAGTCATCTTCAGTCATGCCATCTCAAAAGAATTTACTTCCCTTATACTCTTCCAAGGTACTAAACCAAAGAAACAAAAAAAGAAAACATGGGATATAGCAAACAGCACCCAAGAGAGGAGAGACAAAAGGAAACCCCAGGAAGATAAAATAAATCCACAATGACAATTGGCAACCAAGGTCAAGCAATCCACACTAGAGCAGTGTGATTCAGGAGACAATCACTTTGACAGCCATTATCACTAAAATGTCTGCTGCCACTCTTCTTTTTATGCTGAAGACAGTATACATGGGAGGATTGGCCAAATTCGTATAAGTACTTGAATGTGTTGCCCTTATGATATAAGTTTCCTGCCCTCCCACCTCCATGTTCTGCTGCCTACAACAGCTGTGGATAATCACATCATAACCCCTTCATCCTGAAATGTTCTGTTTTACCTATTCCTGAGTTGGCAGACTATTGTGAAATTACAAACAGCAACAAACAGTGCAGGTCACCTCATTCTCCTTCACCATACTTCTGCAAGACATCCATCCACACTAGAACCCTGACAGATGCCAACTTCAATAAACCTATGTTTCCAGGATGTATGACCTTGCCCAATGACTTCTCCAAAATAAGCCCTTGTAAAGACTCAGGAAAGCTGAAGCCAGTCCATGACCCAGATACTCCTTTACTTTTTATTTTCCTACCTTGGACCCTTCAACTAACACTGCTTTTTTCTTTACACAGCTAAGTTTGTAACTGCTATTCAGATTTTCAAAAGTAAACACTGATTAAGAATTTGTAGGTTGTAAAACTCTAAAGAAAAACAAAGAAGTGAATTAGACAAAAGGCAAGATAGTACTGACACCTCTGGAGAGAAAAGGAGGATGCAATTGACAAGGGGCACACAGGGCTTCTAAAAGTAATGATCCATTTTTAAAAACTTGTACACAAGTGTACTGTTATTCTTTAAATTCTACACATAAGCTTCACACACTTTTTATCTTATATGTATGATACTTTACAACGCAAGTAGTAAAATCTTTGAGAAATGGTAAAAATGAATTCTCCAAATATTTATGACTCATTATTGTGCTCAGCACTTCCCTAAGAATAAATACTGACAAACGGTTTACTATATTTATGACAGTGATTATGTATACTATATTTTGTCTTGAATACATTGTACCCAACTTTTAAAATAGCAGGCACTAAAGCATGTCATTACCATACATTTTCATAGTACATAATTTGTACTGCTGTTAACTACATCACACGGTACAAAGTGATGCCAAATCTGAAAAAGGAACCAACTATCTGCCACTTACTTGTCGATGTCTGCCATGTTGTATGAACGCCAAATATCTATGGAGAGAAACATCAATGTTAAAAAGAAAGAGCATACGACTTATTTATAACCAATAAAAACATTTGAAACCAAAACCTTTAAATGAATATCACGTTAAAACTATTTCAAGAAAAAACACGGAACACAGACACTAGTCACTGAAGTAATTTTTCAGAGGATGCTGCTTACAAGTTACTACTTGGCATTCAGAATCTATTGGGCAAGGGTTTTTACAATAGCACTGTTGGTGAAAATCTAATGTATGCTAGAATCACAGGAAAGGAACAATACAAAGAGTCTTTATTCAAATTCCTTTAACAACCATGAATGGTCAATTTTTGCTTAAATTTCTGGGCTGCTTAGTACCTCACAGATCAAACCCAGTTGATTTTTTTTTTACTTTGACAAGTTTTCACATATATATACACCCGTGAAACCATCATCAAAGTCAAAATAATGAACATATCCATCACTCTCAAAGTTTTTCCCCTGCCCTGTTAGAACACTTCCCTTCTCCCCCCATTCCTGCTTCCCACCCCAGGCAACTGTTGCTCTGCTGTCACTCTAGTTCATACTTTCTAGAATTTTATAGAAATGCCATCATACAGTATGTACTTTTTTCCCCCCAGTCCGGCTTCTTTCATTCAGAAAAATTATTCTGAGATTCATCTATGTTGTAGTATTTATCAAATATTCATTACTTTTTATTGTATAATGGTATTCCATAGAAAACATATATTCTATTGTACGTTTAAATATTCAGCTGCTGATGGACATCTGGGTTTTCTTTTGGCAGGGGGCTATTATAAATAGAGCTGCTATGAGCATTTGTGTATAAAAGTCTTTGTGTGGACAACTGTTTTACCTCTCTCAAACCCACTTGATTTTTACAGTATTAATTTTTATCAAATTCATGTTAAAAAGTTAAAATCTGCCACATGCTGTACTGTACTCATTATGCTCCCCCTGGAGATCTTTTTTTTTTTTTTTTAGTTTAATAATTCTTGTTATCAAATGTCAGCCCTTTAAACTATTTAATGGCAGTTATAAAAAGCTCTGGTCCCAATCTATGTCAAGTAAACCTTCCTCATCTCCGCGAATGTACCTCATGTCACATCACTGAATACCACCACACCCCCAGCCTACCCCGGATATGCTGGCACACTGTCCATAATGTTCTTGGTTGTCAGACCTGAATACTGTTAGGACTGATCAGAGCATGTCCTAAGTTCTTTTGTACTATAAGATTAGTATTAATTTAGAGAATACTGCTTTTAGAAAACCAAAACCTTATAAAATCGATAATAAAAACCTGCTGTACAAAAAATAAAATTAAAAAAAAAAGGAAAGCCAAAACTAAGACAAAATGTGTTACACTGAGCCAGAAAAATGGCTGAATGCCATAGGTAATGCACAGATTACTTTTTAAAAAATTAAGGTTAGAATCCCACATTAAAATCAATTTTTAATCTTTTAAAAATTAAAACCTTAGTTTAACTCACAAGATGCTACAAGATGTGATTCCTCATACCAACATGCTTAATATGCTTTTCACTTAAAGAATTAAGAGTTACTGATTTTAGCAGTGAAGTGCTTTCATTTGGAATAGTATTGCTGATCCAACATCCACCCTTTAGACAATTTAGAAATATTTCTTCCTAATGTATCCTACTCTATTTTATACACTTTGTTTGCTGTAAATAATTTCTAACAGCATTGATAAATTTCTCTAGTGATGCTGGTTAATTAGCTAGCATTAACAAAACATTTATCAAAAAATTATGAAGATACTAATTCAAAAATAAGAAAAATATTCAATCAGTCAAAGAAACACAAGCGGGATTCAAACTTGTCTACGAAATCAGAGTAAGGATTTTCTTTTAATGCAGGGAAAATTATGGTGAATATGCATTCTTAAATATGGCTAGTGTTCCTTTAAACCATTATCTTTCTGGAGAGCACTTTGGCCATGGGAATAACAAAAGCCTTAAATATGTCCATCTCCAGCCTTGGTTATTCACTTATGAGAACCTACCTTGAAAAAAATTAAAGGGTCTCAGGGTCTGTAAATGTTTCATGCTCGCCTAATAGGTTCTTCCCAGTCCTACACATTCTTTGGCTCTCAGCTCAAAGATTTACTTCTTCAAGACAGGACAGGCTGGCATTTACTTCTTCAGAGATGCCTTCTCCAACTTGTACATCCTGGCTAAGTAAGATTTCTGGGTTGTACACACTCCTATAAAGCTCCATTTCTTTCCATCATACGATGTCTCAAGTTTGTAATTATAAATTATTGTGATTATTTGACTAATGTCTGTCTCCCCACAACTGACCAGGCCATAAAATTCATGATTACAGGTATTATATCTGCTTTTTCCAATCACTGCATCATATCCTTCAGAGGAGTATAGAAAGTATACAAAGCAGTATACAAAAAAAACCTTAGTATTAATGTGCATACAATGGAATGCTGTGCAATAAAAAAATGAAGCAGATCTGAGTTGATATGGAAAGAGCACCAAAGCAGGGGTAAAGGATGTATGGCAAAATCCAATCTGGATATATACGAATGTGCATACTCATACATGTACATACTTTCTTGTGAATAAGACATTTCTGGAAAGATACACCAGAAACCTAACAGGAGCTACCTATAAGAGAGAAAAGATTGGAAGTAAATGAGAACTTACGTTTCATTCTGCATTATTCGGTTTTCCTATACAGATACTTATTTAATAACATTTTAGAATTTGCCGGGTTGAATATACAGTGTAGTAAATCCAGCAATTATCAAAAGTATGAAACAAAAAACACCCAAAACTTCTAAATTCAAATTTTTATATCATTTTAACATGTTCACAGAAAAATGGTTACACTTCTACCCTCAGTGTCCACCTTGTGGCATTACATTTAGAATTCAAACTCTTATAATGAAATTCTTTTGATTCTTTATTACAGAGGATTCAAGATACAACAAGATGGCATTCACTTCTTCAGAGATGCCTTCTCCAATCTGCGCATTCTGGCTAAATTAGGTTTCTTGGTTGTATACACTTTTGTGTTTTAAAGAAAAGTATGCCAAATTTTGCAGTCAGATCATTTGGGTTGACACCAGCTTTGTAGCAATCTAGCTCAGGCAAACAACTTCTGGCCTTATTTCATCATCTTCAAAAAGCAGGAGAAAATTTTTCCCTCATTGGATTTCTCTTATTAAGAAGCAAATTCATGTAAAAGATTCGTGTTTGACACCTAGTTAACACTCAATAAACCCACACAATGTTTTTCGTTCTGTCCATTTTGAATTACCCTTTACATGGGGTCAGTGTTCCTGCAAAATAATTAGCTAGAATGATGGCTAAAAACAGCTTCTTTCAGTTTTGACAAATGCAGACTGACCAGTAAATGCACCATGGCAGTATAAGATGTTAACATTAGGGGAAACTGGGTAACGGGCATACGGGAACTCTGAACTACAACTTTTCTGTAAATCTAGAATTACAAATAAATCAAAAAACTAAAAATAAAGGAGCTATTCCCATACCCAGATTCAAAACCAAGGAGTGGACGCAAAAATCTGCATTTGAAATAAGAAACCCAGCTTCTGAGGCAGGTGGCCCTCAGACATTCAGATCACACTGAAAAACACAAGTTTAGGTTAACACCTGCATTGATTTTTTTTTTATTGCAGTCAACAACATTAAGTAAAATCAATGAGAATTTTATTTATCAGACATGAAATTGCTTTCTAAGAGTTCTGAAGAATTTCCACTCCTGGTAGTGACAAGTTAGATTATTCAGACCAACTCTACCAATGAAAACTAATTAAAAGTACAGAATAAAATATCTGTTAAAATCTTAAAAGCATGGGAAAATGTTAATAAGATAGTAAGAAATTACTAACACAAAACTGAAGGCAAAACAGGAAGCAAAAGGATAAGTAGAAGGAAGCTGCTTTTGCCCTGAGGGCAACTGCCAATCAAATTTGAACTACTGTCTGGTGAAACCAAAAGCCCTGGACTTATTCAAGGTAGGAAATCTTTATAGCAAACCTCCCAAATTAAGCAGGAACCTCAAAGTGCTATATTCTCAGAGATAATACACAAGTCCTCCTGTTCAAAAGCCCAAATTCACCTCATCTGCACTGCACCCAAAACCTTAAGCTATGAGCTTAAAGCCATCTCAGCATTCCTAGGCACCTGCATATCCAAATGTAAATGAAAGGTGCCTTCATCCTAGACCTTAAATAATTCATAAAGTAATTTTCGAGAACAATAGGGGCAACAGAAAAGAATACAACAGAAGCCCATCCTATGAATGGACTTAAATATTGTCAAAAAGACCACACAGAAAAAACAATCATGCTTATTAAGTTTGAAAATGCAGTGTCTGTAGCAGTACCTACAAGAAACAGTCATTTACTAAATAAAGGTGATAGAGCAAATCTGGCAAAGAACTAAACAGAACTTCTAGAAATAAAAATAACAGAAATCAAACTAAATGGGCAGGTTTAACAGTAAACCAAACACAGATGGAGAGAGAATTAAGTGAGCTGGAAGTGAGCTTAGAAGAAATCTTCCAAAGTATGGCAGAGACTAGAGGATAAAAAATACTGAAAAAGCATTTTAGGACACAATAATGTCCAAAAAAGATTTAAAACAAGTTCTAGGAGTAGAGGACAGAATGGGCAGAATATTTGAAGAAATAAATAGCTAAGAATTTTCCAGAAGTAATGAAAGACAAGCCCTACAAATTCCAATCAGAATAAATAAAAAACCCACACTTAGATATATGAGTGAAAATGTAAGACAATAGGGACAGAAGTCACCTCAAAAAGCACACAGAGAAAAGACTTAGATTAACTTCAAAGGCACAAAAGACTGACTACTGTTTTCTCTTCAATAGACACCAAAAGACAACAGAATGTACTGTGTGCTCAATGTGCTGAAAATAACTACGGATCTTAGAATATTACACCCAACCAAAACATCCTTTAAGAATGAAGGTGAGGGACTTCCCT